CTACCGCCGCTTTGTAAAAATACGGCTGACATGGCAACCGGATCCGACTCACTCATCTCTTTTCCTTGTCATTTCCAGGAGGACTAATGACAACGAATACAACTAATACTTATTTCTCTCTCAGTAAATGCCAGATGTTGTACTAGGTTCTGGACATAGCAATAGACAACTTATTTTTGGTGCTTGTTAGGTCACAGGCATTTCTCCAGGTGTTTTTCATGTATTTCCGTGTGTTAATTCACTTAATTTTTACAGTAGCCCACAAGGTTGAAACTGTTACTAAATTCTTTGAGTCAAGGGGAAAAGGGGCAAAAAGAACTTGAGTCACAGCGAGTTTCTTGCTTTGGATCATAGAGTTTAGCACCAGGATTGAAATCCTGATGGATCTGATTTCAAATCCTGTGCCCATAACCAATCCTGTGCGACTCTGTGTCAAGGCTGAAATGAGTGGTGTGAGAGGGCCCATTCAGAGTCTGGTGGGCAATGATGGGTGTGGTGTCTGGAACCAGTGATCCCTGACTCCAGGCTTCTGGGCAAGAAGCTCGTCGTTGCACACTGTTGCCCTGTACCATCTCTCCTTTCTTGGACTGTGTGGGAACTGTTTCTCTGGTGTTCAACTTGAAGTGAAGTAACAGGGACAGACAAGATGTACATGGACAGGAAAGAAGGAGGGCTTCCAGAGGGGAGCATATCGCCAAGATGAATTCAGTTCCCTGGGGGGCTTTTTCAATGTGTGTTTCATTGTCTTCTCTCTGTATTCACCTCACCCTCTCCTTTCTGACCCACACATCCATCCCTTGGCCTTTTCACTCTGTACAGTCATGCCCCTTCCTTGCCATGTCTACTTGATTCCAAGGACAGTCATTTCTGCTTCTCCCAGGACAATATCAGCCACTCTCTGGTCCCGCCATCCTTCTGTCCCAAGGCACCTGTAAGGCACAGCCATATAATTATATGTATATATTTAGACAGAGAGCGATTTATGTAATAAATTCAAAAAGTGAAATGTCTGGATCAAACTGTAAGAATGACTTCTGAATGGTTAGGCATATCACAGAAAATTAGACTCACACACGGCTACTGGCAGGGTATGTTGGTGTAAATCTCATGGAAAATATCACTTTACGCTTAAAAGTATTCATGTGCTTCTCCTGGGAAAGGTGGATCGGGGACTCAAAATCTTACACCCACTTTGAAGCTCTGGCTGTGTTCCACTGGGTTTTTTGGTCTCCCCCACTGGGGGTGCTCTGTAACCCTGGTCAACCCGTGGATATTGTTCCATTACTTTTGTGTGCAGAGAACTCTATTACTTTCTTATTTTAAAACGGTCAACTCAAATATTAAAACACCGAGAGGTTTAAAAAAAAAAAAAAGAAAGAAAGAAAGAAGAAAGAAAAAAGCATATTCTGAACAAGAAACAAAATTTGGCCATATATAACACATGACACATGAAAAGAAATGTGCAGTGGGCTCCAGTATTGTGTGGCAATGCGTTTCCCAACATGGCTTGGAGTCATGCCTATCTTTAACCTAATTCTAGAAGCATGGAATACAAAATACAAACACTTGCTTGCATGGGCTCCACAGACACACAGACCCACACTCTTCCCTTTCCCTGAGACAGGGATGGTACTTCCTGTCTGTCAGAAGGCTGAGTGAACACAACATGCCTGTAGGTCCAGAACATTCTTCCTACAGGGACCACATGTCCAGAAAGCTCTGTCTGCTGGATTCAGGGAACGCCTCTCCTCATTTCCATCACTACTATTTGCAAAAGCCTCCTTCTCTGAGATCCTCAAAGCTGCCGTTCTAGCCTTAGTCTGCAGGGAGGTGCTTAGTTCTATTTCTAAGGATACATTAATGAAAAAAATATTAATGTTGCAGAAGGAAAAAGTAGTTCGTTCTAGTTTTGCAAGCAGGTTATGAAATAGTTCTGCGGCCCGAATAGGTCTGGAATAAATACAAATAGACGTCGGTGGAAATGGTTGAGATGGATGTATCCTCAAAAGTGGTTTTGCCGATGAACCCAAACCTACATCACATGCATTCTTTTAACAAATATTAATGAGGCCCTTCTTCTGTGCCAGACACCACCCGCCCAGAGTGACTCCTAATCTGAAAACCCGTGGCCCAAACAGATTTCACCCATCTGGTCGAAGACAGAGATCTCCACCTTGTCCAAGGCACCTGGTTCCCACCCCAACAGGAGTGACTAACACAAAACATCATCCCTGGCCTGCTCAGCAAAGTCTGTCCTTGAGACCTGAAAGCTTGCCATTTAAGGGAGAACCAGTGCAGTTGCTGGAGGAGCACTCGGGGTGTAGAGGCAGACCAATATAGGTGACGACATAATTCCTGTTCTGCCACTTACTTGGCTGGGAAATGTACCCGACGTCTGTGAGCGTCATATCCATGATCTGAAAAGAGACTGTGGATACAATTGTCATGGGATTTCTGTGAGGAGGTCAAGAGAAACCTAGTGAGTCTGCCCAACACGGAGCAACTGTTGGTTGCCACTGGGCAAGTGTTGGTTTTCTTCTTACCCCATTCTTTCTGTGCCGTAGCAGGGATGCTGATGCACTGAGTGGCATGGCAGTGACGTAGGCAGAATTCCAAAATAACACAGGAAGTACCAGTAGGAGCGCACGTGATGTCATAAAGGACACTCACTACTATGTCTGTGTGGGAGGATCAGCCAGTACATCATGGTGGGGCCCGAGGTGAAGCCCAGGCGGTCTGGGTGAGAAGCACTAGCTGCTTTACAGTACCCTTGAGGTCGCCTGTAATTCTGGCAGCACAACTGCGAGACAGGGATTGTGCTGAGATGCCAGAGTTCAGCAAGTGGATGTGCGCCTGTGTGTGCTTTGTCTTCAGCATCTCTCTCTGTCGCGTACCTCTGTGGCTTTTTATCATCTGTGCTCTCTTCCAACTCAAAGCCTTGCCTGAGGCTGTAGCTGTAGCTGTTGAATAGCTCACTTTTACCCCTTCTTCCCCTCAGTGACATTATTTCTGAAGTAATGCTGCTTCTCAAAAATGACGCTGACCCATCCTGTGCTCCATATATTCACCACGTGCCCTTAACCCTCATTTTAATCTTCGATTTTTTTTCCCTTTCATTTATGGACTTTTGTGAAAATGAGTTGGTTTCTGGGCATCCTCCAAATGTCAGCAATAGGGGTCTTTGTTGTTGTCGTCGTTGTTGTCGCTGTAGCTGCGTATTGTTATGGACTCATAGCTTTTTAACATACCGATGGGCCCCAAACCCCGTTTAAAGGATTTTGAGTAGAGGAATGACAAGATTTGACTTAGGCGTTAAAAAGGTCCCTCTGCCTGCTGTGTTGAAAATAGATGGTAAGGGAGCCAAGGGCAAAAGCGGAAGGACAAGTTGGAAGGCAGCATAATGCAGGAGACAGATGTTGGTGACCTGGCCAGGGTAGGTAGCAATGGAGGGGGTGAGAAGTGGCCAGACTCTGGATATATTTTAAAGGTAGAGCCAAGAGAAGATACATCCATCCTGATCGGTTGGATGTAGAGTGTGAGAGAAAGTGAGCACTCCAGGTCCACCTCCAAGATCTGGGGACCGAGCATCAGGAATGTCTAGGTCAAACGCTCTGCCTACATTTAATATCACTTCTTTTTTGTTTTTTGTTTTTTTTTGAGACGGAGTTTCGCTCTTGTTACCCAGGCTGGAATGCAATGTCGCGATCTTGGCTCACCGCAACCTCCGCCTCCTGGGTTCAGGCAATTCTCCTGCCTCAGCCTCCTGAGTAGCCTGGATTACAGGCAGGAGCCACCATGCCCAGCTAATTTTTTGTATTTTTTAGTAGAGACAGGGTTTCACCGTGTTGACCAGGATGGTCTCGATCTCTTGATCTCGTGATCCACCCGCCTCGGCCTCCCAAAGTGCTGGGATTACAGGCGTGAGCCACCGCGCCTGGCCTTTAATATCACTTCTAATGGCACACAGGGAAAGTCCCAAAGCAGCCGAGAGGAGCAGAACTGTCCTGACAGTGGGTCACACACAGTGAAAGAAATGACCCGCCTTCCCCAGCCCCCACAGAAGTTCATCTGAGGCCTGGCCGTAATCAGTAGTACATTGCAGAGAGATCAGCAGTGACCGAGATTTTATTCATACGGGTGCCCCGAGACGACGGGTACATTTTGAAATTGGTTGAGGTCTGTTTGATGGCCCAGGAGATGGTCTACCTTCGTGAATGCTACAAGACGGTAGGGGGGGAAAGAAAAGCATGCTCTGCTTTCGTTGTTGGGCACAGTGTTTTACTTATGTCCTTTACATCCTGTTACTGTAGTGGTTTTCAATATCTTTGCTGATTTTCTTTCTTTATGGGAATTCTGTCACTTGCTTGGGAAGAGTTGTCTCTTGGGCTGAAAGCATTTCAGGCTGGACAAAAAGAAAGCCTGCTCTGGATATTTCCAACTGAGTATTGTTGAGGGCAAGGCTGGAGGTAGGGGGGTAGCTTCGGAAGCTGTTACCTCAGTCTCACCTGTCATTAAAGCCTGTGCTACACCGGCAAAGAAGTACAGCTTGCTGATGGTTCACAGAATGCATTTGGGGGACTGGATTTGGGAGGTGCGAGAGAGGTTGTCTCCAGGTGTTGGTGTGGTTGGTGTGTTAGATTGGAGAAGCCTGAGAGAAGGCAAGATTAGGACCCCCTCCAGGTGTGCGTCTGGTATGTAGTCTAACCCATGGACACACGCACCTCTGTTCTGTATAATTCCTGCTCCATTTTTTTAAGAGGTTCACCACAGTTGCTTCCTCTCCCAAGATTCCTCCCCTGATTGTGCCACCTGTGAGATAAGGCCCTTGTATCTGGACAGGCAGAGGAGTTTGTTTTCTGGGGCTTGTGTGATTGATCCCTTGGGGCGGGTTGGCACTCTGTTTGCCCTACCATGGAGTTAGCCCACGGCATGGTACGTGGTAAGTGGGCCATTGACCCATTGACATGTCTTCGAACTTGTCTTCTTCTTCCCAGTTGCAGGATGCCATGACCATGGTAGCACTTTTCAAGGAAGAAAGAAAGGTGGGAGTTCTTTCCAGGATAATTTTGACAAGAGGAACCCTCGTTACGAACACGGTGGGCATGAGCTTCCGCCTTCAGAGCGCCAGGAGAATGATGGAAGCCTGGAGATGGGGGATGTCCACAAGGACCGCCAACTAAGACAGTAAGTGACCAGGCAGCCTGGTTTGCACGTAGCAGTCCCCCGGGACTGTGCAACCCTTTTATTCTCCGTGGTCTTCCTTTTTTTTCTCTCATTAGAGAACTGAGGAATGCTGGAAGTGGAATAATGGCTAGGCAATCCTAACTGTAGCACTGGTGTCAGTGAGGGGGGCGGGTATAGAAGGCTTTCTTAGATTTAATGGATACCCACCTTCTCGCCTCTTCCCCACAGCACTCCTTATAGTATCGAACGCAACAGGAAGCTAGTGAAATGGCATAGTGAAGACCAAATCCATACTACCACGTGGAGAAACAGAAAACGTCCAGAGAGAAAAATGATGGAGGACACGCAAGATGGAAAAACGAGGGCCTGGTTCAAGGTCACAGTGAGTATCTTGGTGAGGTCTGCATTAGGTGGACTACTCTGGAACCTGATACTGATAGAAGGAAGACCACTTAAAACACCCTAAATTGATTATTTGCAGGAGAGCTTCGGAATGGGGGGAAAGGGAGTTTTGGGAATCCATATTTGGCACACAAATAAATAAGAAATCATGTCAGCGGTCGCTTCTTTAAAAGTCCAAGCTAAGTAGAAGGCTGGAATAAAAAAGAAAGAAAAAAGAGCTGGTTGGTTCTGTTCTCCATCATTTGTTCCATGTTGTCTCTCCCTTCTCTCCTGTGTCTTGTTTTTACCCTCAGATTCCGTACGGGGGAAAGTATGACAAGGCATGGCTAATGAATTCAATCCAGAGCCATTGCAGTGTCCCCTTCACTCCGCTTGATGTAAGAGAGCATGGTGAAGCCAGATGAGTGGGCACGGGGTACGGGGAGAGGCCTGGCTCAGCAGGGGCCATTGGCCTCTGACACCGTTGCTCTTGCCTTCACTCCCTGTAGTTCCACTACTTCCAAAATCGGGCACACTTCTTTGTGCAAGGTGCTAGTACTGCCTCTGCATTGAAGGATGTCAACTATACGATTTGTGATGACCACAACCGGAAGGTGTGTGCGGAGGGCATTCCCTGTCCTTAGTCTCTGGGCAGGAGGACAGGCCAGGAGGCTGGTCATCCTCATTGGGATTAGAGGTCCTGGTACTTACCCCACGTCTCCTTCCTGCAGATATGTATATTTGTCAATCATTCTACTGCGCCCTTCTCTGTGAAGAATAAGTTGAAGCCAAGCCACATGGAGTTGCTAAAGGTAATACAGACTCCAGGATCATTGCATGCCCACTTCCTGGATGCACCTCTTCTTCCCCTGGCCCCCTCTTTCCCTGTCACCACCACCACCACCACTACCACCACCACCACCACCACCAGAGCCTCAGAGTCTCTGTCTTCATCTCTGTCTCTATAGCTGACCATGGACAAACGATATGATGTCTTCCAGCAAGCTCTTGATCTCCAAAGTCTCCGCTTTGACCCAGGTATGGCTGACAGCAGCAATTCTAAGGCAAGTGGGGGCAGAGCAGTCTGCCCGGGAGGGAAACTTAGGGATGGCAATTTAGGGAGGGGTTGGTGCTGGCTCTGGTCCAGCCAGGGCCCTCCCAGTCTTCTGATTCTCTTCTCTTGGCTTCCTGAAGACTTGACGGGCCGTGATATTGATATAATCCTGAATCGAAGAAACTGCATGGCTGCCACCCTGAAGATCATTGAATCGAATTTCCCTGAGGTGAAGCCTTAGGCCAAGTGCTGGTTTTTAGTTAGAGGGGTGGAAGAGAAAAGGTGGAGGGCAGATTTGTCTCTGAGGCGCAAGACAGTAGCTGCCACACTAACTCTTCTTGACCCAAAGCTACTGTCTTTGAACTTGTGCAACAACAAACTGTACCAGCTGGATGGCCTGTCCGACATTACAGAGAAGGCCCCCAAAGTCAAGATCCTGAACCTCTCCAAAAATGAGGTGAGAAGGGGGAGCCAGATCAACTTTGGGTGGAGGATGGATGGCAGTACACATCAGGATGTTGGCAATAGGCAGGCAGAGGTGTCTGGTGTCTGTAGGTGACTGTGAGGGCTGGGGGAATTTGGGGCCCAGGGTCCCGGGTGTCTGTCTTTCCCTGGCCCTCCTTCTCCAGTTTCCTCCCCATCTTTCTTAGCTGAAGTCGGTGTGGGAGTTGGGCAAGGTCAAAGGGCTGAAGCTCGAAGAGCTGTGGCTAGAAGGGAACCCTTTGTGCAGCACATTCTCTGACGAGTCCGCCTATGTAAGGTCAGTGACAACCCCTGTTGCCCTTCCTGGGCACCTTTGCTCCCTGGATGACTGAAGTGTATCTGAAAGTGCCCCTTTCCAGGAAGAGGTAGCCTTGGTCCTCTGGGAGGACCACAGACCTCCTACCCTCCCCCCCCCCCACACACACACACACCACACACACACACACACACACACCACACACTCTCCCTCTCTCTCTCTCTCCTTATCTATCCCTCTCTCTCCCTGTCTCCCCCCCCTCCCCCCCCTACCTCCTGGCATCACTGACTCATCTGTGCTTAGCTGTCTCCTTTCCTTCCTCTGACATGCTCCTCTCACCTGCTCTGGGGTGCCTTTCCCTCCTGTCTCTGCCCGGCCTCCTCCAGCGCGTCTTCTGTGAGTGTGCTCCAGGAAGTGGGGCTCCCCCACCTCCCCAGGACCAGCAGTATTCAGATGCTGGTGCCCTGGACCGAGAAGAGTCCTGTGGCCCTGGGCCTCATGCTGAGACAGGCCTTCCTGCCTCCATGGTGAGATGGGAGTTCCCTCCACTCTCCCGATAGGGGTTCTCCTTCTCTTGCTCCAGAAAGGTCCACGCCCCTGTCCTGGGCTGGCGTGAGGGCTTCCCTGTCCCATGCTAGGGGCCGAGGTCCTGGGTGGCTGCTGTCTTGCCATCTCTTCCTCTGGCCGCATGCCAGAAGCTGGGCCCTCCTTGAGGAGAAACCTGGCTTTAACGAGTCAGGGAACCAGAAGTGGGCCACATTCCCGAGTCAGGAGTGGAAGGCACTGGGCAGAGGAGGTTGAGGAGACAGAAAGACAGACCTCTCAAGCCACTGCCCCTCCTTCCTTCCACACCTCACATTGTCTTGCCTGGGCCCTCAGAGGAGCCCTGGGTAGCCAGAGACGGGTAGCCTTCCTCGGTCAAGGTGTCAGCACATTGGGGCGCAGGCTCCAGGGACCATCAGAAGAGAATGCAGTGGCCGCGAGAGGGGGTCCCCAGAGTCTGAACCCCATGCTGAGCTGGGGCCTGACCCTTCACTCCTCCTGGGAGAAGGTCTCCTGTCCCCGTGGCTGCTCTGTTTCCCATGCCCAGCTCAGACTGAGCTCACACAGGTGAGAAAGGCTCCAGCTGCATCCAGCGGGCCCCGGCCCAACAGGTACATGTTTTCCTTTCCTGCCTCGGTCCCCAGGGCCAGCCAGGGGACGGTGAGGGAAAGGGCTGCAGCAGGGGAGCCCTTTTCTCCTCTCTTCCTCCCTGAAGTCCACCCGCACAGTAGAGCATCTTTCCCTTCCCTTTGCTTTGCGTCCTGCTTCTCCTTTGTCTCTCATCTCCTATGTCTCCCCCGTCTCTCCCACCCCTACCTTCACCCCATTTCTACTGTCATCCCCCCCCCCCGCCTTCCTGCCTCCTGAGCCCGGCCTCACTCACCTCCCTGTCCCAGCACCCTGGGCCATCCCTAAGGGCTTACCTGCTCTTGGCCAGGTTGATGGACAGCCAGTGAGGTAGCAGAGCCCTGGGTTCCCACCCCATTTCCTGCTCCCTGCAGAGCCTTCCATGTTGGCTTGGAAAAAGGCGAGGAAGAGAGGGAGGGGAAGAAAGCCCTGGAGCCTGGGCTCCCAATGCTGCTTCTTGTGGCACTGGAGAAAAGGGAGTCAGGGCAGTCTAGGTGGAAGCTAACCAGGAGAAAGGAGAGGGAGAGAGGCCACACAACCCTGAACTGTCAGTCACTTCATTCTATTTTTGGTTTCGGACAGCGCCATCCAGGATTGTTTCCCCAAGTTGTTACGCCTGGTAAGTATCTATCATACCGTCAGTCTCCTCCTACTCCAGAACATGACCTCCACACCTGCCCTCAAGTCCTTTGGATCTTGCCTAGACTACATGCTTGTGTCAGACCCTCATCCATTTTAGAGGCATGGATTCTGGAAAAGGACAAGAATATTCTGCCTGGAAAAATGTGTCCATAAACACACACGTGCACAAACACCCATGCTGGCATGTAATTGTAGAGATGTCTGGCACCTCATGAGAAAGCCGCCCACTGGAAATTCCAGGGCCATTTCCCACCTGGCTTCTGATGCTTTTTCTCCCCGGGCATGTTCATCTTATGGGTCATCCAGCTCCACCTCCTTGGTCTCCACTGCCGACTTCCTGTTTCCTTCTCCAGGACGGCCGAGAGTTATCCTCAGCAACGACTGTTGACATTGACAGCTCTGAGTTAATGAAACCCTGCGAGGTGAGGAAGAAGGACCAAACGACAAGATTTGGAGTGTTGTAAGGGAGGCTTTGTCCACTGCATAGGTCCAAATTGTCTTTTGATTTCAGGAAAGCTGTAATGGATCTGAGACCCTAAAGCATATAGTCCTGCGGTTCCTGCAGCAGTGAGTATCCCTGGGACCATGAGGAAGTGGAGGGCTGAGGCAGACTGGGCCACCCATGAACAGATCAGTTCACGGGAGTTTTCCAGTCTCATTTGGGGCCCAGGCCACAGAGATAGCCTATCCTCGCTGCTTCCCCACAGGTATTACTCGATCTATGACTCTGGAGATAGACGGGGCCTCCTTGGTGCTTACCATGAGGAGGCCTGCTTCTCCGTGACTATTCCCTTCAACCCCGAGGACTCAGCCCCGTGAGTATCGGGGCTCAGACCCTGCTCCGTGGCTGTGTGTCTTCCCAGCAGACACAGGCCAGCTCCTGGAAATGTCCACACTGGCCGGACCACCCACACCTGCTCCTCTTTCTCTCCTAGGAAGAGCTTGAGCCAGTACTTCGAGGATAGCAGGAATATAAAAACACTCAAGGACCCATGTAAGTGTGTGAGGGGGAAGAGTGGGCAAGGTAAGGGGGTGTGGCAGGAACAATCACAGAGGCCACAGATCAGAGTGTGGCAGCCCCCGCCCCCCCCCCATTCCTTCCTTCTCCTCTCCTCTACAGACCTGAGGGAGGAACTGCTGAAACACACAAAACGTGACATTGTGGACTTCCTCAGTGCATTGCCCAAGACTCAGCATGACCTCAGCTCCATCCTGGTGGACATGTGGTACCAGACGGTGAGCACCTGCTTCTTGCCTCGGGCAGGCCCAGAGAGCCAGAGGTGGGTAAGGAGGTTAAGGAGGATCCTGAGCACTTAGAGCTCTTCCCTTTCAGAAATGGATGCTCTGCTTTTCTGTCAACGGGGTGTTCAAGGAAGGTGAGTGTCTGTAGAGTCCCCTCCCCAGATCCCCACTGCTTCCCCCCTCTGGCTGGGCTCCCTCTCAGAACTCTCCCAGCTTCCCTGATTTTGTCCCTTTCCCTCCTCGTCTTCCCTCCATGTTTTCCCACCCCCACTGCGCCCGCAAACCACCCTGGTCTGAACTAGGTCCATGCCTGTCTGCCCTGCACAGCTCAGGCGTGCTTTAAGGACACAGACTGTGGAGTCTGACAGCTCTCATCCCAGGTTCTTACCCTGTGAACTTGTGCTGGTTACTTAACCCTTCAGTTTCCTCATTTGCAAAATGGGGCCAACAATGACCCATCTCTTGGGCTACTGTGAAATAGGAATCAAGTGAACTTGTGGTTTTCACAGGGCCCCACACATGATCGGGGCCCTATCACTGGGAGCAGATTGTTCCCGTTGTTGCCCTCCCCATTCCTGCCACATCCTCCTGACTCCATGTGAACAGTTGTCCTGGTCTGCCCCGCTTCTGTGTGAGTGTCAAGCGAGGCTCTGACTGGGGATCACCGTGTGAGCATGTAAAGCCTGTGTAACTCTAAGGTGGTGGTGTTTGTTGTCTTTGAAGTGGAAGGACAGTCTCAGGGTTCTGTTCTCGCCTTCACCCGGACCTTCATTGCTACCCCTGGTAGCAATTCCAGGTTAGTTCTGTGTTGTGGGTGGGAGCACCCATCCCAGCCTGGGGATAGTGTTGTGGGAATGTGGTGGGTGCAGTCCTCGGGGTGTTCTCAATATGGTGGAAGGCCAACAGGTAGATCCAAGGGGCAGCCTCGCCTAGTGTTTAAGAGTATGGGCCCTGGAGTCGGAGTAGGGTTCTCTTCCTCACCGCAACACTCACAAACTGTGTGACCTTCATCAACTTAGCCGACCTCTCTGTGATTCAGTGTCTTTCTCTGAAAAGCGGAATAAGGCTATCCACTTCCTTGGGCTCTCGTACAGGGTAAACGTGTTGGGCTTAGATCTGAAAATCTAGTGAAGCTGGTAGTCTCTCCAAAAGTGGACTCCATGGGAGGGTTAGAGGGTACCAGCCAAAAAAATCCGGGAGGCAGGCACAGTAGGGATATGGAAGGAATTTGGTTGTTGAGTGGCAGTGGTTAAGAAGGATCCTGTTGTCGGGGGTGTAGAGTTGTCTACCTGTCCAGTTTGAGGGTGCATTTTTCTTTCCTCCAGTCTGTGCATCGTGAATGACGAGCTGTTTGTGAGGGACGCCAGCCCCCAAGAGACTCAGAGTGCCTTCTCCATCCCAGTGTCCACACCCTCCTCCAGCTCTGAGCCCTCCCTCTCCCGGGAGCAGCAGGAAATGGTGCAGGCTTTCTCTGCCCAGTCTGGGATGAAGCTGGAATGGTCTCAGAAGTGAGTGCTGGGAGTACATGGGGATGAGGGGAGTTGGGACATCATAGGAGTGAGCAGTGGAGTGGAGACTCACGTGCAATTTGGAAAAATAACAACCTGGATATTTTGCTTCGGAAAAAAAAAAAAAAAGTGGGCCCATGAAAAAGGTATCATGCTTTTATACTGGTATAGGTAAATAAGTGTTCAAATGACACAATGCCCAAATGACATTACCTTCCGCATGTAAAATCTACAAGAATCCAGCACAACAAACTACTAATAAACCAGTTCTGCAAGGTTACAAGATACAATATACAGAAATCATTCGCACTTCTATGTAGTTGCAATGGACAATCCAAAAAAATGAAACTAAGGAAAGAAGTCCATTTACAGTAGCATCGGAAAAAATAAAATAAGTAGGAACAAACTTAAGAGAAGCAGCACAAATCTTATACTCTGAAATCTGCAAAACACTGCTGAAAAAAAACGAAAGAAGATTTAAATAAATGGAAAGACATCCCACGTTCATCCATCGGGAGGCTTAATATCATTAAGACGCCGGTACCACCCAGAACAACCTACAGATTGATTGAAGTCCCTGCCAGAATCCCAGCTGGCTTCTTTGCAGAAATTGACAGGGTAACCCCAAAATTCATGTGGAAATACAGTGGACCCAAAACAGCCAAAACCATCTTGAAAGAGAGGAACAATGTTAGAAAACTCACACTTGCCGATTTCAGAACTTGCTACAAAACTACATTAATCAAGAGTGCATTGTCCTGACATAGGAACAGACGTGGGAATCAGTGGAATAAAATTGACAGTCCACAAGTAATCCGACTCATTTATGTCCAGTTGATTATCATTCAGGGTGCTGAAAAAAATCCAGTGGAGGAAAAAAATAGTCTTCTTTACAGTTGTTGCTGGGACAAGTGGATATCCACTTGCAAAATAATTACTTTTGGCCCCTAACTCACATCATGTGCAAACACTGACCGAAAATGGATCCAGGACCTAAAAGTAAGAGCTAGAACTGTAAAACACTATAAGTGTACAGCTTCATGACCTTGAATTAGGCAACCATTTCTTACACATCAAACCAAAAGCACAAGCAACCAAAGGGGTGGGGGGGAAGGTAAGTTGGACTTCATCTAAATTAAAAGCTTTGGTGCATCAACAGACACTCTCAAGAAAGTGGAAAACCGACTCGGTGGAACAGGGGAAAATATTTGCAAATCCCATCGCTGACAAGAAGAACCCTTGCAACTCAACAAGCAACAGACAAGCCACCCAGTTAGAAAATGGGGAGATGATTTGAATAGATGTTTCTCCAAAGACGACCAACAAGCACGTGCAAAACTTCTCAACATCATTAGTCGTTAGGGAAATGCGTATCAAAACCACACTGAGTTACCACTTCATACCTGCTAGGATAGCTTTAGTCAATGAAAGAAAACATTACAAATGTCGGGGAGAATGCAGAGAAATTGCAAATCTCATGTATCACTGCTGGGAACATAAAATGGAGCAGTCGCTGGGGAAAAGATTTTGGCAGTTCCTCAAAATCTTAAATACGGAGTTAACACATGACCCAGTAATCCCACGCCTAAGTGTATACCAAAGGAAATGAAAGTATATGCCCATTCAACAACTTGCACATGAATTTTCATGGTGGTATTATTCGAAATAGCCAAAAAATGGAAACACATCGAGTGACCTTTAGCTGATGAATGGATAGATTAATGTGGTGCATCCATACGGTGGTATACTATTGCAATAGTATTCATTCATACAAAAGAATGTAGTTGTGATATATACTATGACATGGGTGAACCTTGAAAACATTGTGTGCTAAGTGAGAGCAGGCAGTCAGAAAGAGCCACATAATTAGATGATTCCATTCACATGAAGCGTTCAGAATGGGCAGATCCCTAGAAACGGAGAGCAGAGTAGTGGTTGCCAAGATCCGGGGAAGAGGGAGAACGGGGAGTGATCTCTAACAGTTAAGGAGTTTCTTTTTGAGGTGATCAAAATAGTTTGGGATTAGATAGTTGTGATGGTTGCACAATCTTGTGAATATACGTAAAGGCACTGAATTGTACACCTTAAAATGGTGTGACTGCTACAGTATGTGCATTATATCTCAATAAAAAAGAAACGTATTATTGAATTTCCACTTGTTATTTCTTGAACATCTTTCTTTACCAGTATGTATTAAGCTCCGATTTGAATTCTAGTGGGCATGAATGTCAGGGATAGGAGTTTTGGTTTTCCCTAGGCCTTTTTTCATGGTTACAAGAGTGCTCATATTGATACGTGTGTCCCAGAAAAAAGGTAGCATAGAGTAAGTGTGGCATTGCACGGTCGGCGTGCCTGTCCTGAGGCAGTAATGGAGAGCCACCTGTTCTTCTCCCACCCCAGGTGCCTTCAGGACAATGAGTGGAACTACACCAGAGCTGGTCAGGTCTTCACTATGCTCCAGGTGAGGTCTGGGAATCAAGTGGGCAAAAGACGGCTGTCTCTGGGCCGTCGGGAGGGCCAAGAAGATGGAGGCCAGGTAGCGTGGGGATGGAACTCAGGGCACCTGGCTCTGCTAACATCCCAACTCCTTCTTTTCTTTACTTCCTCTAGACCCAGGGCAAGATCCCAGCGGAGGCCTTCAAGCAGATCCCCTGAAAGGAGCCCTTCCATGTCTTCTTTGTCTTCGTTCACATCCTCTTTGTTTCCTCTTTTCACCAGCCTAAGGCCATGCCCAGGAGCGGCGTTGGAGGCCTGGCCGATCAGGAAGCCAAAGTTAACTGGCAGACTGCATGCCATAACCACCCGAAGAGCCACTTGCTCTGTGTATTTGCCCCACTCATTATCGCTGTTTATTTTCATAATAAAGAGTGATGTTGCACGTTGTACGTTGTGTGCCCTGGATTGCTCTTCTCCTGCCCCAACCATGCGCCAGTGGGGCCAGGACTGAAAGCCCTGCATACCTGTTCACCCCTGGCCGGCCTTAGCAGATACATCGATCTGGCTTTCCTTCATAGGTAATTTTGTCAGTAAACCCTGATGAGAAAGTACACACGCTCCTTCCAGAGATTGACCTTGAGAGACAGATGCTCGACCTGGAGGCCCACAGAAGCAGGCATGTTACCTTGGCACACCAGGAGCTTTCATCCACCGTCTCGGCCCCTCCCTTTCCCGAAGGTGCACTATTCGAGGAGGAGTCTCAGGTCAGCACCTGCAGAGGGAGGAAGACTCAGCCCGTCGGCCCAGCGCACTCCTCAGAGAGCTGACATCGGGTGCTCCATGTCCATGTTCTCGACGGTGTTCAGCCATTTATTTTCACTTCTAAACAAACAGCAGTAGCACAGAATCTCACCTTACGGTCGGTTCTCAACGACTGGCATTTAGCAGTTGTCGAGAACCGACCATAAGGTGGTCAGTTCCAAACTGCAGGCAAGAGTTGAGTGGGACATTTGCACAATTTATTGCCTACACTTCTGAGATGCTTGCACGTTAGACAATCAGCAGGCATACTTTTCAAAATTAAAATAATAGCAGTATGACGTTGTCAAGTCATAGTCCTATAAATGATGACATAGGAGAGGTACCACCAGTTTACAAATTATGCCTCCACTTTCGTGTTTGACATACATTATTTCCTACCACTTGCACTTTTCAGTTCTTTATGTGCATGTACATTAGGGAGCCATATGTTGGAATGTGAATTTCTTAAAACTAGGAACTAAGGGGGTAGTTGTCATTACAAAAAGAATAATGTCCATCTTGTTCTTCCCTGTAGCGCCTCAACAGTCAAAGGCAAGCTCCTGTACCTCTCTAAGCCTTGGATTAAATGGATCACTGCATTGAAAGCACTCAGAGCAAAGCTGTATTGTACATTTTCACATCGCTATAAAGTACTACCCAAGACTGGGCAATTTATAAAGAAAAGTGGTTTAACTAACAGTTCTGCAGGCTGTACAGGATGCATGGCTGGGGAGACATCAGGAAACTTACAATCATGGCAGAAGTCAAAGGGCCAGCAAGGCACGTCTTACGTGGTGGCAGGAGACAGAGAGTGAGAGAGAGAGAGAGAGAGAGAGAGAGAGAGAGAGAGAGAGAGAGAGAGAAAGCGCCACACTTTTAAACCATCAGATCTTATGAGAACTTACTCACTATCATGAGAACAGCAAGGGTTAATCTGCTACCTTGATCCAATCACCTCCCACCAGTCCCCACCCCTGACACTTGGGGATTATAATTTTACATGAGTGGGGACACGGAGACAAACCATATCAAACGCCCAGCATCTTCTAGTGATGAATATGCATTTGCGTCATTCATTGTATTTATTGTTATTCCTCCCCACCATCCAAAAGGAGAGTTGTGTAAATGGGGTTTGCATTGCCAGGCAATGTAATTGTTCTGTGGTGCTGCACCTTCATCTTTGTTTGGAACAGACTGGTTGGCATACAGTTTAAAGGAAGACTATGAAAAGCTCAGGAGCAGTCCCAGATTTGTAACATTACTTAATATAAAACAGATTTGGCATTTCCAATCCGTGCATTCAGATGCATTGTTTTAGAAATGAGACAGATGCATCTATAGACGGTTCGATAAAAATCAAACTTCAATACTTTCCCCATAGCAAAATATTTAATATTAATTAAAACATCAACAAAACAATAAAGCACAAAACTGTGTATATATCACAGTTCTATGAAATGTCAACGCTATATACATGCAATATATTTGCACGAATGCAAGCAAACGAAAAAGAAGGGAATGAAACCCAGGAAAATGTTAACAGTTCTCTTTCCAGCAATGATGGGTTGCTGGTTATTGATATTTTCATCTCTATAATTAGCTGTATTTTAGTCGTTTGGTAACATGAATATACATTTATGACAGAATAAACCTTCAGCTTCTAAAATGTTTGTTACTAATCCAACATATCAAATGTGCAAAATGTTATAGAGAGCCATGAAGTGAACACTTGTGTATCCACTACCCAGATTAAGCAATAAACTTGACAAATGTTTGAGCCCATCCCCTCATTTCAGTTGTCCTTCCTTTACTCCTCAGATGTTACTCATAACCAGAACGTGGTGTTTATATTCTCCATAAATCGCTTCACAATTTTATCGTGAATAAAAGCATTCTTAAGCGAGGATTATGTGAAAACAGAGTTGTTCCTCTCTCTGGAAGGTGGCCTGCAAAAAGATTATTGATGTTTTCACGAGGATTTTAATCAGTGGGTACTTTATCTAATTTAATCCTTACAGCTATTCAAGTTACTGTTCATTGTTGATATTATTCAGCTCAGGGTACAGGAGTTATGAGAAGTTAAGCAACTTTCCCTAGAGAAACAAACTTGTAAATTAATGTCCAGGGACTCAAAACCTATAATTACACAGAGAACCATTATTTTTCTGCTCTGTTATCTGGGAAGTCAATCAATGAACCTAAGTGTTTTGTTTAGGATTTCTCTTTAACAATGAGAATTACTGCTTCTCTCTCTCTTCTCTCTTTCCACACAATGTTTCAGTTAACGATGGACCACATATATGACAGTAGTTCTACCAGATTATAATGGAGCTGCCCTATACAGGTAGCTATTTTTATCTTTTATATCCTATTTTTATTGTACCTCTTCTATGTTCAGATACACAAATACTTACCATTGTGTTACCATTGCTTAAAGTATCCATTACAGTAACACACTGTACTGATTTGCAGCCTAGGAGGAATAGGTTATAGCATATAGCGTAGGTGTGTAGTAGGCTATACCATCTAGTTTTGTGTAAGTACACACTATGATGTTCGTACTGTTATGGGATCTTTGGGGTGTCACTTTTCTGGCTAGAAACCTCTGTGGCTGGTGGCACCTTTGCTTGAGTTTTTCTCGGGCCCACTGTGTTCATTCCACCCACTCGACCTGGCAGACTGCACTTGTCTCATGCTACCGGCCTGTGTCACACACCTGCCACGGGAGACTGCAGGGAGCAGGGAAGGGTGTGTGAGCAAGTGTGTGGTCCAAGTACTGTGCAGTCAGAAACGGCCACTGCTGCAGGCAGGGCAGGGAGCTCCAGGTGCCAGCATGTGTCAGCTCTCCACTAAGCTGCAGCTAGACCAGGTGCACCAGAGCTTCCACAGTTGGCACTGGGGACCACAGTGGTGCCCGGAAGCTAGGAGACGCCAGGAACTTCACTGACTCAAAGACAGAGTCACAGCCCTGGCTCAGTGAGCTCCTCAGTCTGGGTTCCCCAAATGGCCGCAGCTCTTCTTTCCTTCTCTTCACCTGCAACATGGTGAGCAAGGGGCATGTCTCAGCCCTGTTTGTGTTACAGCTTCTTTACCCTCATTTGACAGGACCTGAGTTCTTTTCTTGTGCCCAGGAAGAATAAAGTATGCAGACAAGTGGAGGGTGAGCAAGACGAAGAGGAGCTTTATTGAGCAATAGAACAGCTCAGAGGAAATCCACAGGGGACATCTCGTTTCTACAGCCAGGGTGTTCCAATGAGTGTTCCTCTCCTAGCATAGAGGGTAGCTCCTCTCTGCTAGGCAAGTCATCCCAACAAGTGTTCAGCTGTCAGCAGAGAGGGTAGCTCCTCTCT